GCCTATACACAAGTCAACACCCACGCACATTTTTTCTCTCCCTCTCTCTGTTTTCTTTTTTTTTTCTCAATGAAAGTCTTTCACACAGAAGACACACATCTCCGGAGCGGCCGTGAGCCCCCCGACACGAAGACGGCTAAAGTTCATCTCATTAACTCCTGACAAGCCCGCGCCTGCGCCTGCTCTCTCTGGCACAAGAAGTGGAGTGATTAAGGAGTCCTGACGCAATCAAAGCTACAGTCCCCTTTCAAGAATAAAAAAAAAAAAAGAAAAAAGAAAAAAAAAAAAAAAAAGATACGCATTCAACCTATCTGGACACACACACTCACACACAAAAACACACACACATACACACAGACAAAAAAAAAAATGCACCCCTGAGTCCACGTTGACAAATTCTTTAACAAGCTGTGGTTAAAGGGAAGCTGGTTTTACTCTGACTCACCCCCCTCCTTTCAAACAGTTTACTGGAAATAAAGAGGGAGGAGGAGGGAGGGGGCACTTTCAGAGAAGTCACGTGACGGGGCCGGGCAAACCACAGCACAGAGAGCCTTTGAGTGCAGTAGGCCAGGGGGGAAGGCAGGCATACGCCCAGCGCAGATGGCCCTGATTTGAGTTACAGGAGATATGATCCTGGGAGTTGGCAATCAAGAATTCACAGCCTGTTAACCCTTTCCGTTACAAGCGGAAGTTACAAGCAGTCATGGACTTGATCCATGCAGGATGCTTCGAGACAGTCTGTGTCGATACTGAGGATTCCTCCCAGCACAGCGAGGGCTCTCGTACTGAGCTAAAGATTTAAGAGGGGAAAAAAAGCCGATGTTCATGACATCAGCGTCTGGAGCCGTTAGAAAAGGCATGACTTCATTATTCTTGAATAGCTCTGTTGAATGAATGAGAAAAAAAAAAAAACCCAGAGTGCTCTGCTGCAGTGCATCACGTGCACTTGTGGCAGGAAGTTGGCATGTGCAGGCTGGGAGAAATACCACTGGGTTTAAGTCAAACTGCTGGCACCTACAAACCTCTGTGACTTGAGCGGAGGGGTCGTAGTCAGCATCTTAATCCAGCTCTGGTGCTACAGGATGGAGAGAGCGTGTGTGTGTGTGGGATGTGGGATAGAGTCTGTGTGTTACTGTGTCGTGTGTTTGGTGGGCCCCAGGTTGTTGTGGGCGTGGAGCGGCGGTGTTTGGTTGGGGTGGGGGTGGGGGGTCACATCCTTGACGACAAAATTTAACCACTTCCTGTCTAAACACAATGATCCAACGATAGCTTTCTCCCATCCAATCCCAATGGAGCCTGTTTCCACTTTGGTCTACTACTATTGATTTTCAGCTTTCAATCAAAAACTCAAGACACAAATCCACAGCGGATGACTGCCTCCGTGTCCACCTTAAAAAGGTGTAAAAAGGGTAAAACGCGGAAGCGTGAAAATCAATCAGAGAGGTGTTGCGATATCTCCTTGGGTGAAAGATGGAACCCTGAGAACATCCAAAGTGATGGTAAAAGCTCTGGTGAGAGAAAAAATGTTTCCGTATGTGGCAGGTCCTCGCTGGTGCAAGCAACCTGCCTCCAGATGCTGTCCAATCACACGGGCACACATTACATATATACACATGGCTGCCAGATATCATCAGAAAGAGACAGAGAGAGACAGAGAGAGAGAGAGAGAGAGAGAGAGAGAGAGAGAGAAAGAGAGCAATGCGCAGTGGGAGACGAACACAGTGCGTGAGAAAGAATAAGAACATAGGAAGAGAAGGACAGAAAAAGAAACAATGTCAGAGAGAGAGCGAGACTGAGGCTGTGTACTGAGACAGCAGCACGCAGCGTCACTTCTAATCTGCCCTCGCTCGGATGCAGGACAAACAAGACGATGCTCCTCCTGCGTAACACTGTTAATTTGTTTGGGAAAAGACACGCAGGAGCTCTCCCGATGCTGAGATGATCGTTTAGACAAAACCTCCTCGTCCCCAGGCTGCCCGTTTGTCTTGCTCTTCAACTGTCTCTGCGCTTTTCTCACAGTTTCGGTGGGAAGCGCCACTTTATCAGTAAGTGATGTCAGAGCTCCACTCTCACACATGTGGTCTGAGCACCAAGGCTGCTGTTGGTGCCAACCTACCCAGCTGTCCACAGCATTACTAACAGTGGACCTTGCAGAAGGTGCCGCGTCCCTGCCCCTCGTTAAACAGCAGCACAGATTCTCCTCAACGCTTTTTTTTGGGACTTCCTTGAAACAGTTTCAGTATTAGTGTCTCAAAAGGTTACTTCAGTTTGTCAGTTAAACTTTGCTGATAATGAAATAAAGTGGTTGACGCAGTATTTCCCTTTAGAAGAGCAATGCTCAGTTTACACACAAAAAGCACACCTACAGGGCCGAATGGATCAATGATGCTTTAATGTGAAAAAATATTTCAATTGCCTGTTAAAAGATCATTTTATATACGTGGCGTTTCAGCCAGTTCAATTTAAAGAGATGCAGGAAAGGCAGAGACAGTGTGAAGGTGTGTGTGAGTGTGTGTTTGTGACAATGGACTACATATTCACCTACTGGTATTTGGAGACATGAACAGTTTTGTGAGTCGGTGACGCAGCCAAAGGCAAACCCCTAACCTGCTGTGACATCAGTAATTGAGCTGAGGCCAGAAATAGTGGTTCGAAGTTTTATCCCAAGAAACTGGTGCAATGAGGATTTTCTGCCACTAGAAATTAATGAATGAATTCATTTGTGATATGTTCTTTAACAAGATAATTAGACCCTGTCCACATGTAAATGGGTATTTCTCAAAACATAACTTTTTTTGTCCAAACTTTGTTTTAGGTCACTGAAAACAGACCATGTGAAAAACTCTGGCCACGACGAAGACTTTCAGAAACTCTGTTTTCAGTGTTGTTGTTATGTAGATTATTGTTCTTTGCAACCGGGACCTGTGATCCTTTTTTTTTTTTTTTTCAAGCATCTGATTGGCCAACATGGTTTTACGGTTATGGCTATATCACCACCTACTGATTTAGACAGTGAGTTTTTCATGTGGACAGAGATTTTGTTTTAGACCAGATGTGGAAAACCCCCATTTTAACAAACACCCGTGTACATGTGGACTTGGCCTGAGTCCAGGAGTTCCTACACAGGTTGATGTGGGAGAGAAGAGAGGGAAAATAAAACAAGTGACTGGTTAAGCATTGACTGTCTGAGATAATAGCGGTGAAAGTTAAACACATTACAGTCATTTTCATGCATTCCTGAACTGGGACAAATCAATTCTAGTGAGATACACACAGCTATTCCATATTCTAGACGACCTTGTGTATCCCAGCAGGAATCCCCACGGCGGACCACAGACCCCTGTTTGAGGACCACTGATTTAGTATGACAATAAATTTAAATTTTTTTGTATTTAAGTATCTCCAAAGTAAATAAACTGGCTTCAGTGTTTTGGACAAGTAACATCAATGACGTGGACGGAGTGTTTTCCTTGTTTCGAGATAAGAACCTGCTTCCAGAGAACAGTTTAACCAACACTGGAAACAAATGAAATCCTGCCTGCAAATATTTCCATTCATTCAAAATAAATGGCTTTCATTTGTAATAAGTAATTTTTTGAACATTGTTTGACATCCTCACAAAACAGGATGTTAAACCAGCATGGAAAAAAAAAAAAAAAAAAAAAGAAACAGATCATGACCTGACTGTGAAAAGTGAAAAGGAGTTGACTGGGTTGCTCCTAAAATCATCTACAATCACACTGCGATTTGAACATCCTCTTCCCTTTAAACTGAGCCTAAGTTATATATTTGTTGTAAACCTTACAGAAAGAAAATATTGTGGCAATTTAAAATAAACACAACAAATTCATCTTTCTGACATTTTCTGCCAATAAAGTTAGAGGAACAACACATCCACAGATATAGTCAGGTCTCATTTGTGAGACTTTATGAGACGTTTCTAATACATACACAAACATGGCCTAATATAGGAAGATTTTTTTTTATGCTATGACCACAGGCATTCTTTCTAAACATTTTTTCCTTTTGGAGTTACTGAATTATCAAAGTTAGCATGTCAGAACTGACCCACACATCTAAACTATGGTTGGACTGTTACTAATCCTTTATACATGCTGAGGAGTGAAATGCATACTGTAAACAAAAAGAAACATTCCTCTGAAACACTCAGTAATCCCTTGATTTCGGGAATACCCTCATAAAAAAAACCCAAAAAAAAAAAAACCCAGTAGATTTATTTGCTCAGTCGGGTACTGTCTGATATTGTCTGATATCGTTTATTTGTAAATACAACAGTGAGTGAGCCTGTTGTAAAAGTTCAAAACCATTTATGGATGCAGTTGTTTTACTGCACTTGACCTGTCTGACTGTTCGACCCACACGGAGAGAGAAAAGCATTCCTGAGGATGAGGACTGTGTCAGGACACTTTTGATGAAAAGCCTTCTAAAAAAACCACATGCATATTTCCACTGAATTCCCTTTCTCCATTCATAATCTCAACTGGGTGGAAAAATAAATATTTACAATGAGCTATGAGGTATTGTTGAAGTATTTGCTGGGATATTTCATATGAAAGGTTTTTTTTTTTCTTTTTTTTTTTTTACAGAGGATGTCAAAATGAAGGGCCGGAAATGGCGGGAACATTTTACTCTAGTGCATCATAGCTGTTCTCTTAGTCATAACGTTGTGAAAGCGCTTGATTCCTGTTGTACCGCTGACACACTGAGGTGGGGCTTGGTCAGCACACACAGACACACACAGACACACACAGACAGACACACAAAAAGAGGGGGATTGCAATTGCCAGTTGAGAACAAGGAACAAATATAAAAGGAGCTGAATGAAGTGAAGCAGGTAGAAGGAAAAGTTATAGCTCAACAAGATGAGTGTTGAGGGGGAGTGGGGGCAGAAAGAGGAGGAAATGAGAGGGGCTAGGTAACAGAAGATGATGAGGATGAAGGATGAGTAGATGAAGATGATGCAGGGAGCAGTGTGTCACCTGTGCAGACTGTGTCTGGTCCAGGATCTCCTCAAACTTCTGGTAATCCTCGTCATCAGGGTCAGCGCCGGAGAGCCGTGCAGCTCGGGCCATGAAGTAGGGAGGAAGCTCTCCTATGGCGGTGCCTGCACCCTGCTCACACAGAAACACAGACACAAACACACACACATACAGACAATGTTAGTTATTGCTGCTCAGCTGTTATTTATAATACTCCCCGATGTGATGTGCTTCTGTGTTTTGTTTTGGCAGCACAGGCTTCTGTCCCAAACGCTAATGAATCTGAATTCAACATAACTTTAAGACCGAGAGAGGTGTTAGCTCTTATGTACAGTGCAGGTTGTTTATTTGTATCAACTTTATTAAATTGTATTTAGATTCTGTGGCTGATTGTATTTTTTTTTTTAAATATGCATTGAGTAGGTTGGTGGTAAAAATTCTATATTTTATGCTAATTATTATAACAAGCATGTTACTGTGGTGACTGGGGGGTTAATGGAGCAAAATATCAATATCCACAATCCAAAGCAGCTTGCACTGCTTGATGTCTGGAATTGTGTGATCAGCGTGCTTAATGGGAATAAAACGGAAAGGATTTACGAGAACAAAAATCCCTCAGATTATTAAACGATCATGGACACATAAAACACAGGCCTGGGGAAGGTGAAAAACCAGATGCCACCTCTAAACAGCATATCAACACGCCGCACTGCTAACTGCTAACTGCTCTGTGCTAATCTACTTTTGGACATTTTGAATCCAGTGTTTCTGGAAAATTTCAGAAGTGCTAACAAGCCCTGGGGGGGGGGGGCTGGGGGGGGGATCAATATATCAAGATATCAATATCTAACAGCCAAAAGGAGCTTGTACCTCTAAAGCACTGGAGCCTGTGTGATTGAGGGGGGCTTAACAGGAAAAAAGCGGAAGTGATTTGAGGGAAATAAATCCTCAGCATTTGGTCGGTTCACCAAGTTCATTCTGCCAAAACATGAGGACGGAGAGGGAGTGTGGTGGGGAGGAGAGGGGTGAGGGCTACAGACTTAATTAACACAATGAAAACAGCCGCCAAGAAATTCAGTGTTTTTGGAGTTGCTCACAGCTCATTACTTTAATGTTTCCAGGCACAGGGGGAGAGCAGGGGTGTGAGGGGGGATGAGTGAAAGATGCTGAGGATATAGTTAGTGTAAGTTACAATTACAAATGGCATATGAATGATTTCAAGCCCCAACACATCCTGCAATGCACAGACGGCAATGAAAAACTTAAGCAGTGAAATTCAGTGGTCTAGGTGGAACATGCACAAAATCATAGCTTCAATCTCGCTCTCAGAAGAACATAACTGACTAATCACAGCCACATTACTTGCATGTAGCTGGATGGCTGGGCCAGAAGATGATTAGTGGGTAGTTAGCAACCATGGCAGCGACAACAAGCCCAAACAATCATTCTCAAGAGGCGGTGCTATCCCAAAACCTGGCAGACTGCATCTTTAATCTGAACACCCTCTTCTCTTGTTAACACTGCAGTCTTTGATGAAATCTGCCAGTTTTTTCTCATAATGGAGACGTGCCTTAATCTCCCTGGCAGCTGCTCCATTCAATAGCTCTGCCTCTGTTTGTGAGCCTGCATGTGCCTGTGTGTGTACGTGTGTATTTGTGTAGGGGGCAGTGAAATGCGTCCACCTGCGCAGTGGTGGTGTTTGAAGTGGAGCACTTCAGGGAGCGGCAGTAGTGGACAGAGAGGTTTCAAGAGGTAACAGAACAACACAAAGAGAGAGGAGGACAGAGAAAGGAGAGAGGAGGAGAGAGAGGAGGTAAAGAAGCAGTAGTGGTGCTGGTAGTAGTTGGGAGGGGGATGTCATGTCTCATCACCAGTGGGAGGCTGGCAGAGGGAGGGGGAACGCTGGCAGGGGTGCTTTGAAATCATGGGCGCAACAGGTGTCTCTAACTGTAGAGCTGACAAGCCTCAGCTCCAGTCATGCCAGGCTGAGGTTACAGGGGTGTAGTGGTGACTGGGTGGTGTTGAGTCCAAGGGGATTAGATGGCGCGCGCACACACACACACACACACACACACACACACACACACACCCACAAACACAGAGCCCTATATCACACCTCAGAGCATGGTGCTGCTGCTGGTGGGGCTGCAGCTTGGCTCAGGGGAAATTTGACTCCGGTAAATCAAGCATACACACTTTTCTCACACACACACACACACACACACACACACACACACACACACACACACACACACACACACACACACACACACACACACAAGACAGGGTGTGTCGTTATATCAATTTCATCATCATCACTATAAGGGGTGAAAGGTGAGGATCACAGTATCCTTTATTAAGGTATCATTTTTTTATGTTAATTAATTAATATTAATATTTAGTGAAGCACAGAAAATGTTTGATATTATGGTTCCAGGAAAGTGACTGAATGTCAATGAAAGGAACTAAGTAAGTGTTGTTTGTATAAAGGTATAATTATCCACATCATGTGTGTATGTGTGCATGTTTCCAAATTTTACATTTGTGTGTTTGCATGTGTGTACTGAATGTGTGTCTAGTCAATGTTTTACAAACAATAAGGAAGCCTGAAGGCTAATTACAGTCCAGTTGTGGAAAGCCTGCCCAGTTCCTGTAAAGTCCCTGGTAATGAAGAAGTAGCTGAGGATCTGTGTTTCCCCCTCGCCTCACCACCTTCCACATTACAGAGAACAGGGAAACAGATAACAAAGACTGATAAAAACTTATTTTGTGTGTCACGAGCCGAGTTCTCTTTTCTCACTGTTCAGCCTGTGGACATGAGAAGACACTGCACTTACAAATAAGTCCATAATGAGTGCGACTTCTAGATCACGTTGGCACATATCTGTTGCTGTGTTTTTACGTGTCCTGCATGTGTGTGTGTGTGTGTATGTGTGTGTGTGTGTGTGTGTGTGTGAGACAGTAGCACAAGCCAGTGTTAGTGGTTTCATGGTAACTCTGAGACATGTGTGAGTCACTGATAAACCATCAGAAACGCCAGTCTAAGTGTAACTAGACTCTTTGAAAGCTGTTCTTTGTCTAAGTTCAAGCTTTAAAATAGAAACTATGACTTTATAAAGTTTAACACTATTTTTATATATTTCTACTACAAAACAGCAAAAATATTTTCTGCTCTGGTTGTGAAAAAAGTCAAAAATATTTCATCTTTCTCTGGAACCACAAGGCTGGTTAGAAGTGTGAAACCACTGACAATGCATAGGGGAAATTCATGGTAAGTAGCCGGGGGTTTCCAAGCAGATGAGTTATCAATGAATACATTTTCACTCATAGTGTGAATGCAAATGTGCAGTACCTCCACCAGATCTTTAACTGGTGGAGGTATTGCAAAAAAAAAAGAAAAAGAAAAAAAAATGAGACAGTGATCGATAGCCACCTGTGACACTGATTATAAAATTAAGGTGCAGAAACCACACTGTCTTTCACATGGTCAGAGGTAGATCTTAAAGTTTTAAATAACACTTTGTATTAAAATGTTAACAGATGGAAAATACACAGGAATAGTCATGTTTTCACCTTTTTCACTGTTCTCTTACCACACCATAAATTGCATTTTAACTAAAAAAAACTCATAGTCTGATTTGTGCACCTAATTTGGAGTCCTTGGCGTGTACAGTTTGACCCTGCCCTTGGAAAACCAGGTCTCTAAAAGCCTTCAATTTTGGTAATAGTTTCTACCACCCTCTGTCTAATGGCACCTTTCAAAACCCACTGGATAAATTCAAAAATGCATGGTGGGAAATCTGAAAACAAGACTGTTTTTCTTAGCTCCTGAGAAACTGGCATTTGGGAGATATGAGGGTTTCACCTGACAGCAACAATATTTCAAAGCGCACACTTTGAATACTGGTCAAAGTTGTGGCCAATGTCCAAGGCCGTGGCAAACTGTGACCAGAAGTGAGCCATGAGAAATGTTTAGAAAAGCTTAACTCTGTGCGGATCCTGCAATCGCCTGCTCTTTAGCTGTTCCGGTCTACTGTGTGCAACAGGCACTCACCCACATACAAGCTTCCAGGCGCACTTTGGAGATGATGGTCCATAGGGAGATGCTTCGCTGGAGGGTTTCTGACCCCACCCCCGCAGCCTCCACGCCCACCTGCTCAGCATCCGAGCCTAGTTCTGCTGGTGCTTCAGGCTGAGGACAGACTATTTGGTCTGGGTAGGGTGGCTCGGGGAAATCCACCGAGCCACATTCATATGCCGCCAGGGTCACAGATGCTATGTGTGGTCCCTGAGAAATAGAGAGAGAAAGAGAGAAAGAGAGAGAGAGAGAAAGGCAGATGAGGCAGAAGAGAAAGGGAGAAAGGAGTGAAAAGTGGAGTGAGTCCACTTGTTGGAAGTAGTTTTGAGTCAGAGGAAGAACCCTTCTTTATTAGCATAGGGACAACAGTAGAGCAATGAGTCAAACACTGATGACAACATAAAGACAGTTTTAGGTGGGCCAGTATCTAGACAATGTCTTCAGTACTTCCTACAGCAGTTAAACTCTCCCTCTGTTCTTTCACTATAAATTTGCATAAAGACTGAATGTGCCTTCTGCTTTCCTTGCCTCATAAGTTAAATTAGTAAACGCAGAGAAACACACACCTGTGATTAAGCTGGAGAAAACGTACTGTTTCAAAACCTACAGGAAAATCCAAGTGTCATCAGATAGAGAGAGAAGGGGCCCCAGGTGGAAACGATCAGAGATGGAAACCAAAGCTGGGGCACCAAAACCAGTGGGTGTACACATATCCACCACATACACGCACACTCACCATCTGTACACTCGTACAAATGAACAAAAAAAAAGGGTAAGTTAAAAATATGTAGGTGTTAACACAGAGGTTCCCACCGCCCTCAAGTGACAAGCACATTAACACACAGGAATACACAATCAAGTGTAGCCGTTTTCCCACCGCCGCATGCATGTGTCCACGGCAGAGCCATGCAATAATAATGAAGAAAAGAGCAGCAGAAGAAGAAGCTGGGTCTAAATTCAGACTCTCTTCAGACAGAATTTATTAATGTTTGACTGTTCCTGCTGTAAGAATGAGACATTAGCATATTTGAGGACCCGGTTTCTTTGATAGGGCCTGGTCTGGTTTACATTTCTGGCTCTTGTTTATTTACTCATTTCAATTAAGCTTCCAGTGAGAAAACAGAGGAATCAAAGGAAGTAAGAGAGGTGCAGGTTGGATTTCTGCTGCCAACTTTCAGCTCTTGACTCTTGCAAACCCTGAAACAAAGTCATCCCGATATCCACAACGCCGCTGTGTAGAGAGGCGCCGAAGGCCACACACACTCACTCACTCACTCACAGAAATACCAAAATGAACATATCAAGTGGGGAAATCTCCATTTCAACACACTGCTGACATTTTGAAATATTGTGCCAGCATTCATCATTTGAAATCGTCTTTCTCTAATTGCACCTCTATTACTTTAAAATAAGCAATTTAAGTTTCCATTGCTCCCCAACAATAGGGTTTATCATTGAATGGCTTAAGTTCATTTAACACACCTGTTTTGAAGGGTAATTTCTGATGACACACCTGTTTTGAAGAGTAATTTAATTTCCTATTTAGGTCAAAAACAACGGCTGAAATGTGAGCCCTGCATCGCTGACCAGGGCAGGGTACAAAACGTACAAAAAACTCCTGTGAACACTTCTCGTTGTTGTCTGAGAGGAACAAGGAAACTATTTGTACAAATGGCCGTTGGACATTTTACTCTGGCTCATTATGACAGTGAAATTGATAACATCATTTGAGAGCACAGTGTTTGATTTAGTTTTATATTGAACAGGATCCAGTCAGAAAGAAAAGGTCACGTTATTTTGCATTTCCTGCTGAAGAATGCATGCTACGCAATGATCTAGATGACTCTGAAACGACAGATATGATTAAACAAGTCAAATAAAGGCAGGTCCCCGAGGTGGACAGATGTAAGCAGCTGTGTGCACGCTTGCCTATGTTTGTGTAGGAAGGGTGCTCCCAGTGACGCACAGGGGCAGTTTGGCATTACGCAATGTAACGCCAAAGCGATCTAGAAAACCTGGGGTGGGGCCAGAACTTCCGGAGCTATATGGGACAAGGCAGGACATGACAGGACGGGACGTGGGAGGGCAGGACAGTGGCGTGTGAGGCAACAGGAAGCAGCAATGCCTCTTCAGTGCACTCCCTTTAGATGACACAGATCTGTTTCTATGCACACACTACTAGAAAGAAGGCGCAGTAACATCTACATTAATAATTAAAGAAAAAAAACACCCACAGGACACACAAAGAAAACATCTGACGCTCACCCACTTGTTTTCTTACAAAGGCCAAAGACAAATAGGAAAATCTTTAGTGACCCAGAGTGAGAAGTCAAGAAACTCCCAGCACTGACCCAGTCAGACTGGATACTCCCCAGCCTCATGTCCTCCCCACTGACTCTCCAGTGAGATCACACTGCCCTGAAATCCGCACACACACACAAACACACACTTCATGCACACAGACAGACTCCTCAAGGAGAATGTTTATGTGGCCAAGAAAGACTATATTCCTCTTGCTCACACTTTCCAGCTCTATCTCAGGTAATGTGTGTTTACCAAACACACACAGACAGCGTGCCAATAGAGAGCGTTGCGTGACTCTGAGTACCTGCTCGCTCTCTCTCTCTCTCTCTGTCTCTCTCTCTCTCTCTCTCTCTCTCTGTCTCTCTAATGCTGTGTCACTGCTTCTCAACTTACACAAAAGCCCAGTCCTCTCATGTTGGCCAGGTGACTCACCATTCATCTGCAGCCCAGCCCACAACATCCAGGTAACTGCCCTCGGTCTCATTGTGTTACTGACTTTGTTACTGACCCACAGGCATAAACAGCCACACAAACACATCTCATCTCCTAGGAAGACACACAAGTAAATTAATAACAGAAAAAAAAAAAAAGACTAAACATTCAGTGGAGGAAGTAATATTTCTCTGAGGGAGCATTGTTCCATCGTATACACTGTTACACAGTACTATAAACAAAGTAGTGGTGAGGTTTATGTGTGTGCTGAAACTGTGTCTAGTTTGAGATCTGCCTAATGCTTAAATACATGTCAGCACTGACACAGAGTTACTCTCTCTGACCCCATGGGAGCTACAATGGAGGCAGCATTGTTGGCATTCCTGTGGCGACCTGCACAAACCAACGCTCGGCCTCCAGAACGAGTGGGATCCCCACAGACTCTGAGGGAGAAACACACAGTTTGGATCCGGTAATTAAGTGTGTCTGTATGTTTGTTTCCATGTGTGTTGACAATATATCATCACGGCAGAGCAGCGCACACATGCACAGTGAGAGCACACGGTCAAAACAGAGAACTGCTGTCAACCAAAGTAAGACATCCAGTGTGAGCTGTTGAAAGGAATGATCCACAAAGTTAAACTTAGTCAAAATGTCATCTAAAGCCAGGCAGATTTTAACATTACCTGTTCTGATCAGTGATTTTAATCCTGTCTGTGACAGATTTCTCAACCCCACCCCAGTAATAATCACAGCCACAGTTACCTATTGTTTTTCAGCGAACTTGCTGGTCCTCCTGTAATAAACCCCATCCGGAGTTACATTCTTTTAAAGTAGATCTTTGGCTTTTTTTTTTTTTTTTTAATGGGAGAGCTGTTTGCCATTTTCAGTCTTTAAAATCAGCTTAGTGTGAAATTTGTCTTTTGTGGAAATGGAGCAAGTCAAAAATGTTTTTGCTCATCTGAAGCATGTCAATACGGATACAGGAGAAAAACATTAAAACCATCAGGAGTGCAAGAGTTCATCAAATGTGCTGTTGTACTGTCAGTCACAGGTAAATGCCGGTATTCTCTTTTGATGAATGTCCATGTCTATGACGCATCCTGTAATTATGTGCTGTTTAAAATGCTGTCCAGAATGATGAGTTATATTATCAAGGACCACCTCTTAATGTTAATCGAGAACAATTTCCCCATTTTGTTGGTGTTGTGCACACACACACACACACACACGTAAGCACACGGGAAACACGATACACATTCCTACCGCTGGTTTCATGCTTTTGTGCCATTGTGCCATTCTTCTCTTCTAATTTTTGTTTGTTTACCAGAAAACTCCACAGGCACTAAACACACTCGAGTTAAGCTGCGGCAGTTCTTTATCATCCCTGCTTCAAAATATCAACGATGATGGGGTCAGATTTTGTAGCGCCTCAAGTAAGCAAGAACAAGTCCACAAAGACAGTTGTGGTGTTTAATTTGCTAATTCATAGTGATTGCGGTGGCCCATAAAAATTCTCAGAGTTTGACATGATGAGGGAGAACTCATTTTTGACGTGTAGTAAATTGTTCCTTCACCGCGATCCTGGACAAGTGACAGGGATCGGCTAAGAGCATGTCAGTTGCTGAAGCACATGAACGGAAAAGAGCTTCCTCTCAGTGTCACAGCAAGAACAAAGTGTGCGTCAGCGTGCCCACTGAAGGAGGATGTGAAAGCTGCAGGCCCAGAGCTGCTGCTGTGAGGAGCTACTGACACACACTGTCAGCCACCTTCTCTGGTCCACAGGATCCACCATCATTCCTATAATAGTCTTGAGACGTTTAACGCTTGAAATATAAACATTACTTTCTTTTGTGTACGAGCATTTGCATCACAGTGGCAGTGTTGTAATTGTTCAGCACACACACAAACACACACACACACGCACACATACACACCATAATGTAACAGTGTAGGTTTGATGACCCAAACAGGTTGTGCAAGGAGCGGCCTTTTTACATTTTTAATTATACAGTAACTGGTTCATTCAGTACGTAGAGTATGATGCAATGCAGTGAATGTGCCCATGATGAAATTTCATCACGTCACGGATCAAAAACCGGCCTGTTACCCTTAGGAAGGAGCAGCACATAACAGTCAGTTCAAATGATCAAAGTGATACAAATTGAAAGGGGAAATTATACAATCCCTGATTTATTTCTTTTTAATTGCAGATGCGCCCCATAATGGTCCAGGCCACCAGTAAAGGCGTGGACGCCTCTTGTTAGTTTATGGCAGTAAATATTGTTGCTTCCAAATCCCAAAAACCAGACATTAATGGGTGACCATAAACTGACCAGTTCTCAGTGACCACGACCACAGGACGGTCCAGTCATTAACAGGTCGCTGTGGTTGTCAAGGGCCATTTAAGCACATTAGACACGGTCCGGCTAGCATAACCTGTTAACCACTTCTTACAGTGGGAGACTGCTGGA